CCCTTATGTGCCATGTTCAATTGGCGTGGTGTACAAAATCCCATTAAAGTGTGGTAAAAGCTATGTGGGCCAAACCGGACGGTGCCTAAACGATCGCCTTCTCGAGCATGACCGTTCGCTAAAATCTACGGTGGGTGGTCACCTTCCCGTTCACTGCAATTCCTGCTCGTGTGCTCCGATTCTGAAAGGCACAACAATAATTGGACACTATCGAGACGAGACAACTCGCGAAATCTTAGAAGCACATTGCATCAACAGCCTGGGGGACTGCTGCGTCAGCCACCCATCAGTGACACTACTAAACACTGAAACCTTGTTTTTAGAAAGGACTATGGGGCAAAGACATTGCAGTTAGATGGTGTTGTGTCGCGTGTCATAAGCACTGCGTGCCCTGCGTGTCTTTCAGAACGGTTTCTTCTTCTTTCTTTTGTGTATAAATTCAGTTGCGAGTCTCTGTCCTTGTCTTTGTGTGCGCTGTTCTGTTCATCATGTCATCATACCAACTCGCCCAACTTACTACACTTTTGCAATGCTCACAGCTCGAGAAATGCAGGGCGTGTTCTGAGACCCTTATGATCGTTCCGCAGGAAATGAGCGTGCGGCATTAAGCGATAAGAACACACGCAGAAAAAAAGACGCCAAGATAATAATTGATTTGTTTCTGAAGCTGCCATGGTTAGAGCAACCTCTTAAAACAGCATGCGTGTCGTCTGTTCCTTTCGTGACCCCATAGTGCACTGTTGGGAGCGCTCTCTTTTGCGCTAGGAACATTCGGTAAACTTGATTCTGGAACTACTTTTTTGTCCAAGTTATATAATTTGTGAAGTATTCGAGTCACCACATCGGTGTTGAAACTTGAATCGACATTTAGAACGAACGAAAGGGACAGGCTAAAACATTCCCTGGATGAACAGCTAAATGAAATTTAGCGCTGGTGCTCTTGAATGTACGAAGTGAGGTAATCATTATAGTTCTTGGTGCCGCGCTTCTAGCATCTTAGCTTAGTGTTTATACTCTGGTGGTTGAATCACGTACCGTGACTCTAGCCGTCACTGAGTGGGACCACGCTAGAATTGCCTCGTAGCCTTTATGTCAGAGTCGATAAACATTAGTGCATGTTTAGATTATTATCTGGGGAAATATTGGTGAGTTCGTCCCAAGCGTTTTGTGCAGAATTGTTGGTAGTACGGGCGCGTTTTGCGAGCAAAGCAATTTGCAGAGTAACACGTCGCGCGTCACTGCTCCTGGTCGAATGGCACCAGGTGTTGACATAAAGGATTACTTCCGCACACAAGAGCAGAGAGATTGGTGATTTTTTTGCCGATATCTTGGTACTCGTGCCCGTCCTTCATCATGTTCTTTCTTACTGAGCTGGAAAAGGCATATACAATAATATAACAGCACGTCTTTTACAGTGAGCATCTTATCATCCTCGAGCACTTTAAGTGCAAAACATATAATACGGACCAAGCGGTTTTTTCACGAAAAAGCTGAGTTTCGGAAAGCAGGGATAGCCACAAGCCGTTTGCTGCGCAAAGTTTATTAATCATGGTATATAAATCGTTCCTAGCACCAGCTTTCCTGTTTCATTCTGGTCAAGAAAATCACTCTTGGTAAAAAACTTTATTTGCCTTAATGGATTGCATTCAGCACGTGAACAGATGAAAACCGGCCTTGAGAATCTTTAGATTTAGTTAGGAGACATAATCTATTTACACCGCTACAGCCCAGGCACAGATATCATTTCATGCCGCGAAAATCGGACGCAGTGAAAAAAGCAGGGAATAAATCCTCTTGCAGAAAGTTTTAGAACCCGTATGCCATTTTTAATACATAAGCGCCTTTATCTCAATTGTGTTTTACAAGAATTTTAATGCTTGCATTCGAAGTTCAACTGAAACGATTGTTGAAACTAGGAAGATCTTCCAATTTTGTTTAGATGCATTCCTGGGTGGTTTCATTTTTAATCGAACACGCTTGGCAGGGTTGGTGTTTGGATTTTTTTAGATATATGTATTTGCCCCACGTCTGCAAAAAACAAAACCGCTTTTGGAAATAAAAAAAAATATTGAAAAAAAAATCTGGTTTTTACTCCGGGATTTTTATACCAAGTCATGTACACTGGTCTGAATACGGAAAGCATAAAAAACTAACGGCAATTTTTCGTGTGCTTGTATACCATGCCGAAATTTTTTTAGTTTAAATGAAAATACTTTAGTATTTTTTTTATTGAAATAAAAGAATGACAAACATCGCCTGTTCGACAATTCGGTAGCATATTCAGAGGCTTGTATGCCACGAGTTATTATATGTGACGCTTGCCAAATACTATACGGGTGTAGTCTTATACATCGGCTACCGATGGGCATAAGTTTCGTTTATTTTAGTTTCACGGAATATTTTATATTAAATTTGAAATATCATCAAAAATTAGATTTTATGAATATTTTGAACCCACTTTATAAAGGAATTTTTTTCTTCAATTTTTAAATATTAATGCCGATCATATTAAATTTTAATTGGCTTGATACGATTTCTCCCTTTTTGTTGAATGTTCTCAAAAAGTGGTCGGAATCGCACCCAGGCTCTCAAAATTGCCAAACGCTGTTTCGGCAGGTCGGCTTTGCTGCAAGATTATACTGCTCATTTTTCTGATTAAATGCAGCGGATAAATTAATTTTGATTGAGAGCACCCGTGCTTGGCTAAATATCGTATTTTCTTAATTTAGTAATGATGGCCACTGACATTCCTTAGTTCGATCATTAGCGCACCGAAGAATGACCGCGGTCTGGCTACATGAAGAGCTCGTCCCGTTTCCTCCGCCCTTTGTGACCTGGCTTTAGACATCGGAAGATTGAACATCCGCTGCACCGCTTACGATCGGACAAAGGAATGTCAGTTCCCATCATCACAAAATTAAGAAAACACAATGTGTAGCCAAGCACGAGTGCTCTCAATCAGAATAAACTTACCCGCTGCATTTTAACAGAAACATAAGTAATATATCTTTGAGCGAAGCCGACCTGCGGAAACTGCGTTTGGCCGTTGTGAGAGCGTGGCTGCGATTTCGATCACTTATAGAAAATATACAACCAAAAAGGTGGAAATCGCTTCGAGCCATTTGAAAGTTAATAGGATTGGCAGCAATATTAAAAAGATTAACGAAGAAAAGGAAGTTTCGCTAAAGTTTCTTCAAAATATCGGTAAATCTAATTTTTGCTCGATATTTCGGGTTTTATATAAATTATTCCGTGAAAATAAAATGTACTATTAAGCCCGTCGATATAACATATACAGGACGATACTCGCATAGTATTTGGCAAGCGACAAATATAATAACTCGATTTACAAGGCTCTGAATATGCCACTGGACTGTCAAAGAGACGACGTTTGGTATTTTTTATATTAGTAAAAGAAATACTACGGGAGTTTTTTACTAAAACGTTGTCGGCATTGTATACAAGCACAAAACCATATTACTGTCAGTCTGCTTTCTGTATTCACGCCAGCGTAGAAAACTGGGTAGAAAGATCACGGAGTAAAAAACAGATTTTGGCCCCGCTCCACTAAATATTATTTGTAATGCGAAAAATATTTAAAAAAAGTTTTTGGAAAGCGGCTTTCTTTTTACAGAAATAAGGAAATTACATATATTAAAAAAAATCAAAATACCCACCCCGAGAAGCGTGTTCGATTTCAAATGAAACCACCCTCCTGTCCATAGGCGTAGACCACGGGAGGGGGGGAGGGGGGCATCGGGGCTCGTGAATCCTTTGCTGAGATCGGGAAGGGGGGGGGGGGGGGGGGGGGCAGAGCCCCCTCCCCGGGTTTTGATCATTACCGAGACACTGTTTACGTGCCATGTAACGAGCTTCTTGTAGTGGAATGTATATAAAATATCGCACACTGCGACGTACACATGGCGATATACACACGCTGTGAAATGTACCCCCTAAAAAAGACTACTGATACTTTCCGGTGTACGAAAAATTGCGCGGAAAAGCACCCCCCCCCCCCCCCCCCCAGAGAACTTCTCAGCCTGCCCTCCCCACCCCCTCCCCCCCCGGGAAAATGGAGAGTCTACGCCGCTGCTCCTGTCTACGTTTTTATTTTTCTAAATAAACGTTCACTGTTTCGATCCGAAGTATATTATTCCGCAGATGGCTGGTTTGTGTTCCCATCTACCTTTCTCTTATTTTCACGTTGATCAAAGAAGTAACTGACTGAAATGCTTTCACCACACGTTAAAACAAAATCGAAAATTAAGCAGCGTTATATTTTGCGCGAAAGTCTATTTTAATTTTTCTTGAGTGAAATTTCAAATAGTGCCAAACCAAAATTGTTTATATAATCGGCAAAGCGGCGCATGCCAAGAAACCCGCTCAGTGTTCTTCGCTACGATATGAAACTTTATGGAACGACTTCACACGGAAGGCCTTCAATATGAGCATCAGTCTGAAGGTCATTTAGTTACCAGCTAGTGAGGAATCAAACAAACTTTATGGCTCCCTCAAGAATTTCATTGCCTCGAGCCTTCTGATTTTTTTTTTTTTTTCAAATCGATGCAACCGGCTAAATATATTTTGAGGGATTTTTTACGCAGAATAAATCATACGTATAGAATGAAACTAGGAGCATGGCTGGAATAACTTCTTGATAAGAAAACATTTGTAAAATTATCCGCATGGTTTTCAAAACGGTGTGAAATTATGAGCATTATGTAAGGGTAATGCCGTGCAATCTAACATATTATCAGTCACGACAGACTGTGAGCTCCATTGTCATAAGTAAAATTGTTTAGATCCTTTATTACGTTTTATTAAAAGAACGAATAAACCACGAGCATAACTTCGAGTGAAGCGAGAACACTGACACTTCTATGTGCAGTTTACCAAAAACAATTGGTATGCGCTAATATGATAGTTTGTGAACGGCAGTTACATCCTAACGCTCCAGAATTCTCATCTCCATAAATACATCTTGAAACTTCTCTGCTCACCTGAACAATATCGTTGACGACCCACTCGACCTTGACGGACTTGCGTGGTGGCACGGTGATGACGTGCTTGACGAACTGCTCCTCGGTTTCCGTTTTGACCTTGCTGTCGGTTTTCGTGAACGAGACTGCGACCGAAATCGTGCCAGTGATGCTGACGGATCCCGGCAGCGGAACGGTGACCGAGAGCTCCGTCTTGAAGCCGAAGCCTTTCTGCGTGGTCCAGGTGTACTTGGTCTCGTGCTGCATGTACCTCTGGACGGTGACGCGGCTGGCCTCCGAAGGCTGCTCGTTGTGGATCCACTCGGTGTGGACCACACGGGGCTTGGTTTCCCTCTTCTGCACTTCCCCGTATTTGATGGGGCCGGCATTTACGAGCACCTTGTGCCTGCAGAAAACAACAGGAGTGTGAACAACGCAGAACTTTATAAAACGCTTGCTTGGAAGTAGAAAGCGAGAACGGAAAGAACACTGCCCAACGCTATGCCTGCCTCGGACTGAAAGCTTAACGAATCTAACTGTAGTATGTGTCTAAACCTTTGCATGGAACGAACCTCCTCAGGTGTGTAGTAAATATATTTTATGCCCATCGAGTGCTTCTAGAAAGAGCCGACCGTTGATAATAAACGATTTCTTGTAAGAAAGTTTTCACTTAAGCCTTTACATATGAAAGATAATTGTCACTCACTAGGGAAGCTTGTACAACAATTACTGCAGTTTCTGTGGACTGATGCCGACGTGGCCATTATAGTAATACAATGTTGGCTTGCTTGTTTCGTTGAAAAAACATATTAAAGGGATTCTGTACCAGACATTTCAGTGTCTATAATGAGTGGCGCACTATGTTTCCATGAGTCAGCAGCCGGCGATGTGCGCGAGCACACGCAACGAAATTGACGTCATCATATCCCCCCTTCAAGCTTGTTAAGGGTGAATGGGGGATATGATGACGTCAATTTCGTTGCGTGTGCACGCGCACATCGCCGGCGGCTGACTCATGGAAACATAGGGCGCCACTCATTATAGACATTGAAATGTTTGGTTCAGCATATCCCTTAAATGGTTTTGTTATTTTTGTTTTTCTTTTAACATCCTTAAAACGTAGATGTTCTTGACATGACTCATTTATAACATTTGGTGATTAGGTATCTTCGTAAGTTCTTTGCTGTCGCTTACGGGGCGGAGCATTCGTTGGATGTTTTCACCGCCCTCATTCTGTATCCCATCTACGAGACTCTAGGTTACATAAAGATGTTGAATTAAAAACAATGCACGCAGTAATATAAATGCATATTCGCGGATTTTACTGGTAGAAATATTACACGTCCGCGTTTCTGTAAATTGAGCCCTCTGGCGACTCCAAGGCCGCCCTGCAAGATAAGGCGCTTGGAGGAATAGTTCAACCTAACCTGCTCGATCAGCGGCTATATCGGTCCTTTAAGACATGGCCTGTGTTTCGGGCGCCTTTCTAAACATTACCCATAGCATTTTTTTTTCCCTCTGAGCTTGAGTCGAAACTCTCAGATAGAGCGACGCCATAACGCAATAATCGAATCGAGCTTATATATATATATATAAAGGGCTTGCACGCGCTTGTTACGTTTGACTAACACATTTCTATCCAAAGTCACCGTCTCGCTTTCGCCTACTACGGTCACTGAGAGATGAAGTAATGCAGAGCGTGGCGCTCTGCGCTTCTTAGGCCGCCAGCGACTCTAACGTCTTCATGTGTTCGTGTCGGCCATTCGACTGAATTTCGGAACTCTCAATATGGGGACAATATTGATGCTGTTTATAAGCTCCACTATGATACGCGGAATAAAAAAAAAAGAAATTGATAACCTCATTCATAGGTAGAGAGAAGGAGCTTCGACGTTTGGCACAACTTTTGACAAACACGTCAAGCCCTTCGCAGGCTCGTCAGCTCGGCGACGTTTTCCAGCATTGCTCTTGCTGATGAACATTCTGGGCACTAAGCCGATGACTTGGACAGCATTTGAGATGAATTCCGTGCAACCGGAACCCGTTCTGATATACTGTGTGGATGTTGTTCTTTCAACCTGTGATGCACAGCTTTAGTACAGTGCCGCGCGCGCACCTGACCAAGCAGACAGCGCGCTCGTGGCCTAACGGTTATCGCGCTTGCCTTCCACGCAAAAAAGCCAAAGTTCCAATCCTGGCCGCGGATACACTTTTTTGTTGACTCTGTATTGTTGTGTTCTGGCAAATTTGAGAACCGTTTTGGCTGATTCGAGGAAAGAAAGTTTTATGCGCGAAACTTGTACGTCGATTTTTCCAGAACCCCACGCGTGTACAAAAGGGGCTCCGCGCGGCAAGCCAGAGTCAGTCTCGCTCCAGCGCCCGATCCTGCTGTTTCGCCGACATCGACGCCTGCGACGCTAGCTTACTTCGACTTTTGGGAAGCACAAGTTCGCCCCATTAAACGTTCAGTTTCTTCAGTTATTCTTCGCCTCATCGTTTGTCATTCATGACAACAATATACCTTGAATTTTAGCGGTGAGGTGCGCAGGTCGATCCAGTATAGAAACTAGAGTTTACATACTGAAAGTATAATATTAATATACTATGGAATACCTAAAATTATCAATTGGATAATTTCCGATGGGATAAAAATAAATTAAATGGTTTTAGATATTGAATGTGTTGCTCATCCCCGAGGTTAGTTTGTAGCGATGTGCAGGCCCATAATCTTCTCTTTTATTGCACTGAATAAATCCTATGAACACCTAAATGCTAATCTTTTTTTTTTGTACTTGGCACTGATGGTTGTACCCAACGTTACTAGGGCAGTTGAAAAAGGTGCCATTGGGGCCGCCTTTGGAGAATTGACTCTAGCACTTCAGGCCCGAGCTCGACGAGATTGTAGTGTCGCCGTTTCTCTCGCAGCGTACAGTACGGCAACTAAACATACCGAATCAAAGAAGATTTCCGGAAAGAAGAAGATTTTGAAAGGAGATTTAGAGAACAGCCTCGCCGTTCTGCGGCTTCCTCGCGAACTACCCAACCACGAAGGCGCACCAGAGCAGAGTAAAAAGAACAAATTCTTACCTATATTTGCAAAGTGGATGTTCGCTGACCCCCTTGGCTGAAAAGCTTTGTCCTGCCAACTCGTAAATGAACTCAAAACGAACTAGCGGAGCGGACTAACCATTAAGGTGCCGCACTGTAATCGAATCTGCCTCACAGCGGCTCGGTTCTAGTGACCGGGAAGGGCCCGGGTTCCAAAGGCGAGTTTCACAGCTCAGTTATTCTTGTGAAGTTGCTTGCACTTGAGTCTACGAACTCTGATTATAAAGGGTAGAACCTGCAAACGAATAACTCACGGTCTTTTCGGGAGCTTATACCGGCGAAACTCCGGGTTGGTCCCGTACATGTCCCACCAGGCTACCCCGACGTTGTGCTTCTCTTCAAGCTTCTCGACGTACTCTTGAATCTTGGTCTCCAGGTCGAAAACCAAAGGATTTGACGCAACTAAAGGAGTAGTGTGAAATGCACCAAAAAGGGATTTCATTAAAAACGAGAGAATTTGAAATCTTAAGCCAGCCTTTCCGCATTATCATAGTTTCCGCACCGTAGTCAACGGACTGCGTGTGCTTAAAAGAATAAATTTTACGTGGTTCCCAGGAGCAACAAACAAGGTTTCAGTTTTTTTTCAAGATCGAGACGGTCATGGCTTTTGTGAATGACAAATTATGTTGACGCAGCTTTCTTTACAATCTAAACACTTCTTTGTGTGCTAATAAAGCAGGCACCCTTCAACGAGTCGGGTGTGCGTGAAAGTTTACGTCCGGATTATGAACTGGATGCGTAATAAAGGACAGTACTTGTTTCAGCAATTATTGGCATTTGTGGATTGTGTGTGTGGATTAAGGTTAAAAAGTACGGTGCTTGCCTTATCATACCGTCAAGTTGCCCTATTACGTTCGTATTTGTTTAATTGGTGCACTTTTTTAAGCGGGATTTTAGGTATAATAGCACAGAAGGAGTATTATTTCCGTGTCCGTAAAATCTTACACTCTTCACATTCTTTGTTTTGTCATGATTGTAAAACTCTTTGAGTGTTATATTTTTTTCAGTTGCCTGATAAAGCCAACGTAGTAGTCTGGTTGAATACATAAGGCACGCCTTTCAAAATTTCGAAATAGAGTACCAGGTTATTATGCCTTTTTTATGCTTCTTGCGTTCACTGATGACCGTTGAATTCTCATTACGCATGCATGGAGCAATACTTTCGGTGATTTTAGATCTTTTTTTGCATACTTCTGAGTACAAATTGTACAGCGACTACGTCTGAGCAAACGGGAAGTTCCCCATATATATATATATATATATATATATATATATATATATATATATAATATATATATATATATATATATATATATATATATATATATATATATATATATGTATATATATATATAAATATATATATATATATATATATATATATATATATATATATATATATAATATATATATATATATATATATATATATATATATTTGAAAAATTGAGGGCTTAAGGACTGATCCTTGTGGAACGCCCGATACCACAGGGAGTACTCTAATATAGGTCTGCCTATATATATATATATATATATAACTGAGAAGAAAAGGAAACCCTTGGTGAAAACAGCAACAACGGACGATTTATTCCTCGACGTTTCGGCCGGAGTCCGGACGTTCCGGCCGGAATTTGGCAGGCCAGACTCGGGCCGAAACGTCGAAGAATAAATCGACAGTTGTTGCTGTTTTCACCAAGGGTTTCCTTTTCTTCTCAGTTAGACCCACGCCTTTGGCCCCCCGCCATCATGCCTGTTGTATATATATACATATATATAGGCAGACCTAAATTGGATTAGTCCCTGTGTGCTATCGTGCGTTCCTCAAGGGTCAGTTCTTAAGCCTTCACTTTTTCAATTTTTATAAACGAAATCACTGCCGACATTCTTGTGCGAGCACTTTTTTTGCTGAAAATGTGGTTATCTTCACTGAGGTAAATGATGTTAGTGACCAGGCTATATTGAACAGCTGCTTATCCATGATATACGATTGGTGTGACTCGTGGCAGCTGTCACTAAATGAATCTTAACGAATATATTTGAATTCATACAGCCCGGAAAACTAGTTTTCTTTATTATAATTCTTTCAATAACAATACTGTCCTACCCGCAGTGACTTCCTATAGATACCTAGGTGCAATCGTATCAAATAAACTGCGTTGGGACAGCCATATTAGGTACATTGAGCACAAGGCATTAACTAAGCTCTGGTTTCTGCGGCGAAATTTAAAGCAAACTTTATCCAACGTAAAACTAACAGCCTACAAAACGTTTGTTTTATCTAAATTAGAGTATACATCCGTTGTCTGGGAACCGTTTCCTAAAACCAACATAAGTTCACTTGAGTTCATTCGGAGAAAAGGCTTGTATTTCGTAAACACCAAATTTCAGGGACAATACCCAGTTTCAGAATTATACGTCTGTTCCAGCATTAGCTCATTAAATCATAGACGCATGTTTCAAAGATAAACATTTTTGCTCGACCTACTAAACAACCGATTTAATGTTGACACGTCTAAATATACTTCACCTGCTCTTCATAATTATCCCACGCAAAATATTTATTGTAGATCATTACAAGAATACGGCTGTAAGGTCGATGTATTTGAGTTCTCATTTTTCCCAAGGACCGTTCATGATTGGAATGCCCTACCCACTCATATAGTAAATGCTTCATCCGAGTCATCACTCATTGCTAACCACCGCAGTTTCTGTAACTCCTGCGATTGACGGTATTTCTTGTAGTTTTTTTTTTTTTGGTTTTGCTTTATTGTTTCTTCGACACCATATACTGATGAGGTTGATTGTCTTGTTCCCGTGTGCATAAAATGACTTGAGGTGTATACCTTTATAAAAAAAAAAAAGTATGATGTTTCCCTTTTTACCACATCTCCCGCAGGCGATTGTAGTATCAATAAATAAATATATATAGTCAGTGAGAAGGTAAGAACGTGTGGAAGAAGGTTCAGTTCTCCCACTTGAGGCGCGAGATCCCTGCCATCGGCAAGGTTTCGGCGGCTTCGAGCGTTCATGGAGCGTTTGCTGGAGGCCGAACTTTCAAAAGACCCTCCCTGCCGTACTCATTCGGTGTTACTTTAGCTTCAAAAATGTTCTAGAGTACACGCGATATTTTTCCGACGAACGGTGTTACCTAAGCCCGATTCGCAAGGTTTGATTTCCCTCGCGATTCCGCCGCTGCAACGTTGAAAACCGCAGCTTCCATCATTTTTTTTATGCCTTACGAACAGCGTCGCAGCTGCGAAATCTCAAGTGGAATGGCACCATGCGGATTTGGCTTTATATTGAACGATTGTCGCGATTTCGGGCTCCGGTGAGTGCAAGCGCTAAAACAAAACGTGTAGGTGCCCCAAAACTGCGCATTGCACGCCGCATTGTTAGAGAGACATCGCTGTAATTTTAATTGTGCTAAAAATTGGTTGGATGGAAAGTATGACAGCTACAGCATACAAGGGGCGATCGACGTCTTTAACCTGCGTTCTATGTATTGAAACACGGTATTTTTGGTGTTATATTGCAGAGGGGTCAACTGAACCTTGACATAAAGATATTTAAGCACATCTAGATGTGATGTCCCTTGAAGCCAGACGGTCAGGGAAAAGGTGTGCCTTACCTAATTTGCCAACAGCACACGAATGTTCACGATCAAAACTCACCGAGTCAATGGGCAATTTTCCACCACAATATTTATTCCCATGTAATCACCGATATGGTCTATTAAAAACCTTGAGGCTGTAGCCTATAGCACACCCAATCCGGATCTGCAAAGCTTATGCTGTAGACATGCATCATCATATGAGCATGTTTCTCATCAATCTTAAACATAAAACGCTAGTTATGCAACGAAACTCCCATATCAGCACATTTTGAGCAATCTGAATGATCCCAAACGACAGGGACAAGGCGCCCTGTCCCTGTCGTTTGTGTTATTTCTATTGTCCCTGTCTGTTTGCGCTTTTAAACCTTATACCTACCATGGACCAACTAGCCCAAACCAAAGTTTTAATGAATGGTCCCACCTGTTACACTTTTAGCTTTGGAAGTAAACTGATTCACAATACCACCAGTGGCATGCATCGTGCCAAGCATTAGTGCCGCATGTGGCAACAAAATGTTTTAACTAGGGAAGCAAACCTAATCGATCGTGTTGATTAAATCACCTAGGTACGGGAGAAATTATTAACAAAAAAGGTCATTTGAAAGGAAAGTTTTCTCGCTGAACGAACATGCCTTTTTATTGGGCGTTCCGCAATGTAAGGCCGAAGTCATTTACTCCGTGATCGGTACAGAAGCATTTGCTTAGTGGTCGGTCGTGCGTGATAAAAACAAGAACAAAAACAAAGGTGAATTAGAAACGCGATAGATTCGCCTTTGCACGGGGTACTTACACTTAAAATCGTGTCAACATAAAGCGACTATGGCCCAGCTTGCTAACAGCAATCTTAAAATTTATCCGTGTAGTCGTCACACCCACACCAACCGAAAGCGTTGCTGCAAGTCCCTCCGCCGTCAACTTTGAGTCGCTGTTGAGTCTGAAGAAGTGCTCTATGAGGTCCATATCCAGCCACTGAGCACATACGCAAGCACAGGAGGTAATAATCGGTTCCAAGTACAAACGAAGAACCTGGGGCGGAAAGCCCTGGTTGCCAAACGATCTGCGTCGGGTGACGGCGACTGACTGCGTAGTAGTTGCGCTCCTTCGACGAATGCATCGCTGATCGCTGCGGCGGGTGGTCGAAGCTAGTCGTAGCAGATCGTGTCACCTCTGTTGCTCGTACCGAAACAGTAGAGCCGCGTAATATTCTTGCTGCCGAAGTTTATAAGCCTACGTTCCCGGCCAACGCACTTTACACAAAGCCAACGCCCAGCGAACCTATCCCTCTCTTTCTCTTTCGGCGACCGGCCGCCAGGACGGTGACATCGTCGCTGAAACTCGCTCGCTGTCCGACGCGGTCGGGCGCGTACTCGCCCCAACAAAAACAAACGAGGCCTAGAATTTCAAAAGTATGCCCGGCATTGTGAATCCCGGAGAAAAGCTCACCGGAGAAAAACTCACCGGAGAAAAGCTCACCGGAGATAAGCTCACCGGAGAAAAGCTCACCGCAAAACGGGCGGATGCGGAGAAAAGCTCACCGGCCATTGAGCGTATGCGGAGAAAAGCTTACAGATTTTTTTTCTTCTATTATTATGCAGGCTGGTGAATCATGCGTAACATAGATCAATTTATTATTATTAAAATTCGTCAGCTTCGTAAAAAAAGACATTTTTTGTAATATTTGTTAAGCTTATTGGGTATACTGCTCCCAAAATAATAATTGCGGGCGAGTATTTCTGTGGCTCTCTCTAGGACAACGAAAGTCTAACTGACAACTTTATGAACTTGAAAAA